CCTGACCCCCCAGCCCCACGCACACGCGCCTCGCGCCGAAATCAATTTGTGCGAGTGAGTCCGGGCTCGGCTCCGCCCCGCTCGGCGGCATGCAGTGGATCGGCGGGGCTCGCGGCTCGGCTCGGCTGTTGGGGGATCCGGCCAGACCCGGCAGCCTCTGCTCGCCTTGCTCTCCGCTCTGGAGAAACACCGTGAAACAACGCCGACTGCCGCCGCCGCCGCGGGTGGTGCGTGGCCGACACTCTTGGCTGGGTAAGGTCGGGGGAGAAAGGTGGGGCGGGGTAGGGGTGGCATTCCTTACTATCCTGCTCGGCAAATGGTTTTCAGTTGTTTTCATGGTGTTTTTGTTTCCTTTTTTTTCTGTTTCCTTTCTCCGCTCTCTTTTGTTTTGCCGGGCAGATTTGTAGGCGCCCCGGTCGTCGGCACGGCAGAGCAGCAGGGGGGCGTGGCTGCCCAGGGTGGCCCAGGTGCGAACCGCTCGGGCGGCGGAGCCAGGCGGAGCCATTCCAGCTGGACACGGTGGACAGCCCATCCGAGGGGGGAGAGGGGGGTGGGGGCTGTCGAACTTGCAGCAGGACGGGGCGGGCGGCTGGCCCCGTGATAGGCACAGTTGTGCCACTCTCGCCACACGCGCTTTGTTTTGTATTCTCGGTGGCGTCATTGGCTTTGAAACGTTTTATTTTTCCCTTCATTTTTTTTTTGCAGCGGACGGAGCAAAAGTTTGGCTACTAGTTACTGTAGTTGTTGGCAGCAGCGATGGGCCGAGTCGCACAGACTTTGCATCACACAACTGGTACATGATATGGTACATGGCGGAGCGTGGCGGAGCGTGGCGGGGCGGGCGGGGCGGGGCAGGCAGGGCGCGGCCCGTGTATGAGTTCGATACTGCGGCGTGGCGGGGCGTGGCGGGGTGGGGCGCTGCACGGATGAATATGCAGGCGTCCGGACCGGAGGCGCAGGACCACATTTACATTGTTGTGTCGCGAGATAGAGGGGGAGAAAGAGAGATGGAGACTGCAGCGCACACTGCACCGCCCGCTTTACTGCCATCACCAGTGTCGGGGTGGTCGCGGCCGGGGGAAAGGCACTCGCCACTCGGTCACAAAAGTCCTCATCAAAGTTTTTCGAGAGGACGCCCCCCCCCCCCCTCATACTCCGGCTTTCCGCGGCTGTGGCTGAAGCAGCGAAGAAATTTTTATCAAGAGGCCTTCGCCTGATGATAGGGTCTTTGTGCAAGTCTGAAGTGAGGGACAGAGAGGGACGACGAGGGACAGAGGGAGGTAGAGAGAGGGGGGAGAGGAGGGACCGAGGGCGGGAGACAGAGAAGGGAAGGAGGGGGAAGGGTCACTGGAGAAGGCGCCAGCCAGGGCGATGCGGTCCCAGGAGGACAAGACGAACGCCTTCCAGTGCCAAAAGCTTTCGTGTACTGCTCCCTTGGAGAGGATCCTTTTGACTGAAGAGAGGCAGCCGAAGGATTGGGGAGGGGATGGCGGCCGGGAGGGAAAGGCGGAGGGAGGGAGGGGGAGAGGGGATCTCTGGAGAAATGATTCCCTGAACAGGATTTCCTGCTGGTGGGAAGCAGGAGGCTCCTGTACTGGGGTCGCTGGGGTGCACTCGAGGGGGTCGCCACGGTAGTGGAGAGAAACAGAGAGAGAGAGAAAGGGGGGGGGGAGGTAGCAGCGGCCGTGGCCTAGAGCAGGAGAGGTGTCTGGAGAGGCAGACCACAATGAGCAGCGCCCCTCCTAGGGCCCTAAGGGGAGGCTACACTGCAATGGCCATCGCCACGATTTAAACTAGAAAATATTGGAGGAATTGTAGAGAAGAAGTAAGTTTAGCGCGACAAAATACTACTAAAACAAGTATTCTGGGAGCTGTAAGTCCATCAGTTTAATAGTTAGTATACTATGGGCCTATTTCTTCAGCGTTCGGAAACCGAATCTCTCCACAGACAAATTTGACGGTGTGGGGTTTTATTGAGATCGGGAAGGAGCAAGCAGGAAGAATTTGGCTCTTCAAAGCTTTGTGCCCCAATACATTCCAAACATTAGACGTAAAGTTCACCTTTACGTAATAACATTGTAATGTTTAATAAATGACGCACGTAACTTTAGTTTGTTGGTAACCTATTAGCCTTGGCCCGCTCCGTATATTATTAGGCGCCGGGTCAGGGCGTCGCGGCCGTCACGGCGCTATGCGCTGGGCTGGGCTGGGCCCCTAACGGGGCGGGGCCCGAGTGGGGCGGTGTCTCCCCGGAAAAAAAATGGGCCATCCACACAGGGCTCGTGGGCAGGCATACATTCATCGTCATGATGGTGATGAGGGGAATGGGAGCGAGTAGAGGGGGGGGAGGCACCACCACATTCACTTTCTTCTGACCTTGTGTGCGCTGCGCGCGCCTCTTCAGCGTCCACCGTGAAGAAGAAGAACGCCCGCTTTTCTGCCTACCTGATGCGTGTCCTCCAGCAAGGTCTTCAGTGGCAGGGTCTGCTTCGGAAAGTCCAGGGCAGCTCCGGGAGGCGACGGTAGAAGCCTGGAGAAGAGAGAGAGAGTAACATTTTATGGTTTGCAAAGAGAAGCAGCAGAAGAGGACGAACACGTTAAAGCGGCAGTATAAAAGGACTGTCCAGTGGCAGAAGGCACCAAGACTTCACCAAGGTTTTTCTAACAAGCATAACAACTTTTCTCCGAATGCAGATACATTGATCTTGATCTAGAAACAACCGTAAAACCATAAGCGTGTAAGCGACACGCTAATCTCACACTTGTAAGTTTGATGCACGTGTAGTTAGTCTGGAAGTACAGAATCACGCTTTGGGGAAAACGACGCATTTCTTTCAATTTAATTTCTCTTGGGAGAGAGACGCTTTCCCTTCATCGCTCTATTTGAGTTAAGATGTTTTAAGATTGCTGTAGACTATTGGAATGAAGGAGTGAAGCACATCGCTCGAAAGAAAGCGATGAACCGAATTCACCCCCGGAACTGATAGAGAGACAAATTTAATTTGTATTCGTCTTCTGGCAAAAATAAAATGTCAACAGTGGATTGCATCTACGAATAAACAAATATTTGCAAGACTTCACAAGAGTTTGCGCATCACCGTAAGAAGAGCTGCGATATCGTTCTCTGCATGAGCGACAAGAGACGACGGAGGCGAGACGAGCGAGGAAAGACAGGTAAAGGAAACGGCAATAAAGTTAGATCAAAGCAGGAGGAGAGACCCCCGTCCACAGTGGGTGAGAGAGGACGGCAGGAGGAAGGCTTGAGGAGGATGTTCCAAACGCGACCGTGCGTTTCATCTCGCTCCGAGGAGAAACTGGTCCGGGGCCCAGAACGTTAAACCCGTTCATACCGAGCGTATATGAAAGTGAGTCTCCCAAGGCAGGCGAGTGCCACACACACACACACACACACACACACACACACACACACACACACACGCGCGCGCGCGCACCTACACACACACACACACATACACACACATCGGGAGTAAAACGGCAGGCAAGCGCCCCACTGAGCGCCCAGTGGACCGGCAATGACTAAGTGCTGTGCATTTTGGCCCCACTCACGTAACCCGTCCAATCTCCTCCTCCTCCTCCTCCTCCTGCTTGGCCTCCTCCGCGGGTCGCAAGAGAGCAGAGACAACATTGTCCACCGCAGTCCACACGCCATTACACCCCCGGCGGTCGGAATAAGGGCCGCAAGGGCCGCCCGCACCAGCGGCGAATAAGCAAGAGTCGATCAAAGTGCAAATCACCTTTCATTAGGCCTGCATAGTAATCAGTATAGAGGGGATGAAGGGAAGGGGAGGAGGTAGGGGGTTCCCGTTAACACCCTCCTCACCACCCGCACCAACCGCCTCCGCTTTACATTGTGTTGGGGGACGTCAGCAGGCTCGCCCGACCACCCCCACAAGCAGGCTACCCCTCGCACTCCACCCCCCCCCCAGATGGATGGGGAAGAACACGGTGTAAAGGGGGGGGGGTAGTCCCGCTGGAAAAATTAATCAAGGAAGCAGCGATGATGCGCCGCCGCGAGAGGCTTTGACGCGCCAATCCACTGAAACGTCAGGCGCGCTGCAGGAGGGCGGGGGGAGCCCGTACAGAAAAATGTGGCTTTACGATGGTCTCAGGATGGCTACGCAAGAGCCATCCCGGAGACAGACAGAAAACTGCCTGTAGCCATTGCTGAGACATTCTCCTGCCGCATGAAATGGCTATAAAACGGCTACAGAATGGCTACTTTAAGACCAGAAAGAGACATCCTAAAGACATCGTCAAGAGAGCCTGATGCCCGTGCAAAGCCCCCACGGAGCCCCCGCGGAGCCCCCGCGGAGCCCCCGCGGAGCCACCGCAGAGACACCGTGGAGTCAACGCGGAGATACTGCGGAGCCATCCCGGAGCCACCGCAGAGACACTACAGAGACATCGCGGAGACACTGTGGTTTCCACGAAAAAAAATATAATTGTACCCATGTGATGCATTTTGAAAATTCAGCTTCCCGCCGCGATGGCCGCCGCCGCCCTCTGAGGCGATGTTTCGGTGAACCGGACCCGGTGGGAGTCGAACCACCGACTGTGTGTTCCGCGCTCCGGTACGGTATCCACTGGGCCAGAGCGATCCGTTGGGAACAGGGTCAGTCTCAGCGCACAATATCAGCAAGTCTCCATCAAGGGATAAAATTAAATTAAGTGTGGTCTCCCTTTTCCGTAGCCTCTCATGTATCTACAGTCCATTTCCTCGCTTTATGTTAAGTTTGAACGGTGTCAGAAGACGCCGTGCAGGAAAAACTGGTTGGGCGCCGACCGGGATCGAACCTCCGCTTACTATCCAGCCGCCAGGCACGGAGACCACTGTGCCACAGAGGCGACTGGTGGGGGCACGCTCGAGCGCGCTGCCTCTGCAATCGCTACCTCTGAGAATCGAGTGCATCGTCCCGGCTGAGTTGTCGTTCGTGTATATTGTAGCGTTTGTCAACGGATCGCTCTGGCCAAGTGGATACCGTGCCGGATCGCGGAACAGATATTCGGTGGTTCGATTCCCCCCGGGTCCAGTTGACCGCAGCATTGATTCAGAGGTCGATCCCACCGAGGCGGGTCCCAAACGCGGCGCGAAGCTGAATTTTCGAAAGTCCATCACATGGATACAATCATATTTGTTTTCGTGGAATCCACAATGTCTCCGCGATGTCTCTGTAGTGTCTCTGTGGTGTCTCTGTGGTGGCTCCGGGATGGCTCCGCAGTGTCTCCGCGTTGGCTCCACGGTGTCTCTGCGCTGGCTTCGCGGCGGCTCCGCGGGGGCTTGGCACGGACTTCAGGCTCGCTTGACGATGGCTTTGGAATGTCTCTTTCTGGCCTTAAAGTAGCCATTCTATAGCCAATTCATGTGGCAGCAGCATGTCTACCGAATATCATATCGGAATAATTTGTCCATGGCCTCTACGATGCTGCAAATGGGCTAGACCATGCAGCAGGTTAAGGAAAGGGGGGGAGGGGGCAGGAGGAGGGCGAGAGAAGGGCTCCGCGCTGCTTCCGTCGTCTCATTGCGCGCAAGCTCCGCGAAAATATAAAACACACACCGCAGCCGCGCGGCCGAAATCAGTGGGCGCGCTGGAGGCCGGGGCCTCGGCCGGGGCGGCGGGAGGAAGGTTCGCTATCGGGCATCGCCACAACAACAAATATTCATGGCCAGCAGCGCTGCTGCCGCTGCTGCCGCGGGTCCCTGGTCTGGTGCCGGGCCGAGGAGCACGCCGCGGAGGCAGACCGAGGCGGTGGGAACGGCGAGGCAAGGCAAAGCGCTCGTGGTTGCCGTGCCGTCACACGCGCGGGTTACTCGCCGTCCTGTTCGCCGGCTGTTATTGCTTATTTCAGAAAACAAAATAACAGCGCCACCGAGAACCGGAAAAAAAAGGTTAAGTTAGACATGATGATTCTTCCCACCTCCTACCAGGTTATTCCAAGAGAAACACATTTTATTTTATCAAAAAGATTTTCAATCAATGCAATTATTATTTTTTAAATAACCTTATGGGAAACGCTTGATAGATGTACGGACCACAAAACAATGAAGGCCTATCTGGTAGGGCGACGCGGAGAGTGGCAGAGCGTGGCGGGGGGCTACTGCTGATAGATGGCAAGCAGGTGATAATGGACCCGTCCGGATAAGCCCCCCCCCCTCTCCCCCAAATTGCAGCCCAATAAACAAAAAAAAAAGGCTCTGCGAAATGAATCTACGACGAGATTATCGCGAATTGTTTATTATTCTATCCCCCCTTCCTTCCCCCCTTCCCCTCCAGCGTTGATTAAAATGTAAATCCCTGCTGCCCCCCGCTTCCATCACTCGCGGCGAATTTGCCGACAAAACGGTGGGAGAGAAGCTCGACTTAATGATAAACTGGGAATGCCACTGTTGAATTCTCCAGCTCAGCAGAAAGTAAGACCCTTGTGCTGGGCTTTGCCTAGGGCCCATGCGCCCGCCTACCGCGGAGAATCGAGCGAAAGAGAGGAAAAGAGAGAACCTTTCTCCCTGACCCCTCTTCCCCTCCCCCTGATCCTCTGCCCCATGTAATGCATTCCCCCTCCTGCTATATACGGAGACCTCACCTCCTCCTTCACGCCCCTACCTCTCCGCCCATTCTCTCGACAACTTCCAGCTTCTCCCGGTCCAGGTGACACCTTTCTGTACGGCCCAGCGCCGCGCTGGCTGGCAGGGCCGCGTATAGCTGTTGGGTTGGGGACTTCCAATTCTCAATCCCTCCTCCTTCTTCTTCTCTAACTTGTTCTTTTCTCATCTATCTTCTTCTCCTATTATCTGTCCCTGTATTTCGAACCCTTCACCACCACTGTGCGCGTGGCGCGGCGCGTTCAGGTCGTTCAGCCGGCAGCCGGCATCGAGTACGCCTTGCGTCACGCGAAATGATGACCTAAACGATGCCGGCGACACCGAGGCGCTCGCGGAAACCACAGGCAAAGCAGGCGGGGCTAAGTGAGTCGAACTGAGTGGCAGCGAGGCGTGCCAACAGCCCGAGAAACGCGGTATTTGCAGTTCGACAACCGGGCAGCAGCGCAGCAGCGCGGCGACAGACTCCAGCGAGGAACTAGGCATGTCTTATTCACAGAGAAGCAGCAGCGATGGCGGTGTCACTGCTGGCAGCAGGGGTCGGCGGGGGCTATTTGCAGCCGAACGCGGCCTCTCGCCCCATCCCGCGCCTCCCCCGCGCTCGCTCGCACACACAGTGCAAACTCAACTGACAACACGGGCAAACACTGCGTCCGGCTAGTCTCTCAATTGTTTATGTGCCAAACAAAAACGTATCCCAAACGCGCACTTATTCATGTCCAACAGAGCAGAGGTGGTCGGGGGATTTATCAGTCAAGCCAACCTTATGTAAAAGCGTGCACAAGGGTGCAAACATAAGTCTAGAGTTCAACTTTAACAAGGATCTATTACACCTGTATTTTAGTTGTTGGTTGTGCAATTCTAAGGGTTCGAATTGTATCAGTGTTAAATCCTTACAAACATATTAGTTGGTA